TAAGATGTAGTCATTATAGAGAAGTAAGATTAAAGATGCTGCTTTCTGGCTACTGCATCTAACAGATCCAGCTGCATTTTCCACCCAGGATGAAATGTGGAAATTTTTTTTCCACAACAGTGTGAATTTCTAAGTTTCTTTTCTCTCTTTGATATAATTCCTATTGCAAGATTTCACTACATGACTACATATGATCATTAGATTATTTTGTGCAGAAAATAAAGTACAGCTTTTTTTGATTGTGAACAAGGAGACCAGTTTATTCAATGGTTGTCAGGCTCAACAACTGGTAATTAATGCAGCCGAAATGCATGACTGTATCTTTTACTCATAATAATCTAAACTATGCAAATTATCAAGGTTGCTTGTTTCTGTGTCAGAAAACATTCTGAAAGGAAATCTTTTCCACAGAAAAAGAGAATGACAAGTAAAATAAATGAAGTGTGTCTGCCTAGGAACAAGTATTTTACACATAATTATTTCATACCTTGCAAATTAACTACATCATATCTGCTTGGGAATTACAGAAAACGGAAACAATGTACTTAGGGCATACTGGAATTTTCTAAGCAATTATATTTCTTGTTGCATTTTATATTTTTTATAAGTGATTGTGACATAAGAATCCAGGAAGGAGACGTCAGTGGTGGTATTCTCTGTTACTGTTTTGGCATAGGTGCATTTCCCAGAAGTCAAATATGTATTCTGCTTATTTAACCTTTCCTAGCATCTCTGTATCATACAAAAATGTAGGTATGCAAACTATTGATAAGGTAATGATTCAGAAATATAGGTGAAAATCCCCAGGAAGGGGCCAAAATGCTGTTAAGCTTCTAACGAAGTAAAATGGAAAAAAAGAAGAGCTTCCAGAGAAGGCTTTGAAAGAGCAGGCGGAGGTAGGAGCGCGGCTAGGAAACCATGCAAGTCAAGTAAGGACAGAGCTTGTAAAGTCTTTAAGTACAAAGCTTTCTTTTCTGTGCTCACCTGGGCTGTCTAGTCACTACCACAATACAATAAATAGTATTCAGAAACTACCTGTGGAATTGGAGCTATTAGTATAACCTTAAAAAGTGGAGGAATAAATACTGTCACCTGAGTACAATACAGTAGCTGTATTTTTGTATGAGACACTTTAAAGAGAAGCCTGACGATTCCTATTAACTTCTTTGGGGAGCTGGAGTTACTTACTGCCATTTGTATTGAACAACACACGGACGTCGGACATTTCAATATATAGGAAATCCGTTTATTAGTGTGGACCAAACTCCAAATTCCTGCCAAATGTCCCCATACATGTTCTACTTTTTGTTTTCAGCTGTTAATTAAGTAAGGGAGAACATTTTGTATTTTACTTTATGGTGCTTTGTTTAAACTACTATGGTAGAGCCTTGAGTTGACTTGAACCTTGTGGTAAAATTGCCCTGTTTGGGGCAATTCTCACTTCAAAGACAGAACAGGCAAAAAGCTTACAGAAAGCTTTTGAAACTCATGTCCTTTAAATAGAGAATAATAAACTAGATGAGATCCCTCTTTAAACAAGTAGAACTCAGATCTGCTGAAAGGGATAAAATACAGAGCAGTGTAAATAAACGTCCTTCCTTTCCATGAGCTCCTCGAGGAGTATGTCATCTCTGTCAACCTTTTGCTTGCCTGTTGATACCTCTCAGTAGCTGGTTTCTGTTCAGGCTTCACGGGCTTCTTTGCTCCGTCAACACGGCTTGGCAAGGCTTTACTCTCTGCCATGTGCAATATCCGTGCTCCACCTTGTCTCTGTGCCTGGAGGTTGCTAGCTGGCTAGAAGTACTCCTGGCTTCTCCCATACCGCTGACTGTTCATTTGCTGCCTGAGGGAGAAGTCACCCCCTCCAAGAGGGCTCCCCCTGCCCCAGGTTGAGGGAGCCAGGACTAGACAGTTAGGCAGCCCCTTTTTCTCTGATCCAACTTCACCCTTTTAGCAAAATATACCTAACACAGAAAATGGAAACAAACCAGTTTTGGCATCCATCACAGCTATCAGGTTCACAGGAGGAACTGGTGTCTTTCTAAACAGATATGATAAGGATATAGACATAGATGTAGAAATAAAGTTTGAAAAGAAGATTCTAAAAAGACTCCATGTAAGTGCTAGCCTTGTCTAAGCAATAGTGGTAGAGTTTTCTCATTGGCTTGCTCTCAAATTTGCGTAGACAGGAAAGCTTATAGATGTTTGGGTTTAACATTGATGGTGCAGATATCTAATTACATTTAGACTTAGCACTTGAAAAAATGCTTCTGACAAACAGCTTTCCTGCAAAGGAGTATTATATTGGTGCTATTTGCAGTATTTTTTGCAAAGGCTCTGTGTTGATATTTCCATTACAAAACTCTCTGTTCTTTCAATAAAAATTCACTCCAGGCTGAAACATGGAACATCTGATCTCAGCTCTTGATCAGTAGTTGTTTTTACCAGTTTTCCAGAAAATTGACTGAGCTGAGGTTTTTGTGTTGTACAAAGGTTAAAAAAGGTGTGGAAGGGAGGAAATGAGGGAGGGTAGCAGTAGGCATGTAGTTGATGCAGTTGGTTTGTATTTCAATCGTTTTTTTCTCTACTAGTAGGATCGAAATGGTGTGCTACTGGCATCATCTGTAACCCATTTGTGCTCTAGTGGAATTCGGTATAGTTCTTTCTAGTGCATGAAATTCTTCACATTGCCCCATCTATAGGAAAACATTTCAACAGCTACATAAATATTTATCATGAGGCAGTAGCAATTGAAAATTATAAAAAATGTAGATACTGTGTAAGATGAAATACTACATTATTTTTTACATAATTTCAGATTCAGGGGAGGCAAAAAAAATCACCACTTTCAAATTATGGGGTGCTGAGGGTTTATTTGTTGTTGTTGTTGTGGTTTTTTTTAATTTCTATGCTGTTCTCCAAATTATATATATGGGTGTGGTGGTAATCAAACCATTTGGAAGCCCTAGGTGATTTTGAAAATATTTTTTTTCTGAAAGGTCATTAACGTGAAATAAACTACCATTCTTATGTCTGCTCAGTTTGCATCTGACTAGAATTGAAATGCTGAGAAATGAAATTCTGAGTCTCCATCTACTTCCTCAAAGATAGCAACAGCTTCACTGTTGTGAGGACTTTTGGCTAGTAAAGCCACAGTCATCAGCTTTGCCTGCTATTCTGGGTTGGTAGAAGCTTGCTTCTATGTACTTTTTGTTTTCTTGAGCTTGTTTTTCTCGGCTGTCATGTCAGCATAGTGGTATGTACACAGCTTTACATATTGTGGCTTTTGTTTTGCTTGCTTCTTTGCTTTAATGTTGCACTTATTTTCCATCATTATATGCATTTTATATTATATACTACATTATCTATATGTATATATATTATATACTACATAATTATTTATTGCTGTGGCTGGCCAGATGTCTTAGTTATGTTTGGAGTGAGTCCATTGCACACAGTCTCAGTCACTTTGGCATGCCTTGGAGCAGCTCACGGCGTGCTTACCTGTTAGGTCTGCTTAAGCTGTCACCTTTCAGTCATCAGACCCTGCAGAGACTCAGTCAAGCTTTAGCTGGCCTACCCTCAAATAACCAATAAAATCATTGTAAAGGAACACGAATAGTAGCCTTAGAAGACACCAAATTCAAGTGACATTTTTGCTGAGTCTTTATTGTAGCTGCTTATTTTGGCATAAATCTTCCTGTATTGACAGCACTGGGAGAGCCTTGCAATGGGGCAGAAACTTATAGATTTAGTAGCAAAAGAACCACAGTAAAACTTATTTTTATCATTGGAAGATATAAATGTTAGGAGAAACAAATACAAGAGCCTTTGGGCACTTTAGAAAGAGGTGAGCGAGAACAGCATTAAGGCCCTGAACGTCTTGGTTCTTCTCACAAATCAAAGCATAGCTCTCCCAGTAATTATAGTAGTCCATTTTACTTTTGACTATCAGAGGCTTACTATAAAAATAGAGTCACTGCAGATTCAAACGCTGCCAGGTCAAAGATCTGAATCTAGAGTTATACAGCAAAACTTTCTGAGTTATATAGGCTTTTGTATTGTTCGCTTAGGAGAATTATGGTGTTTACTTACTTCTGATACTAGTATTTCTATGCTGTGGAAAGACTCAGTTAATATATGTAGATTCCTGAAACAGCTTTACTTCAGAGAAATTGAATGTTTGGGAATACTTAGACTGTTTTTAAATAGAAAATGTGGGTTAATCTAAATATAGGCTTCAAAATATTTAAAATTTTAAAGCATTAGCTGAAGTGACATTTTGAATTTAAGTAAATCTCCCTGCTGCTCTTCCCTCAGTGGTTTCATGCAAACAAAATTTTGTTAGGAAGGATCTTCTGTTAGAAGATCAGATTTTTCGTCATAATCAAAAAAGTAAAGCCACTATATTTAATTAGCTAAAATCTTTAAATGTATTATATATGCATGTAGAAGTGGAACTTTCAATATATTCATGATAAGAAAAACCCTTACAGCATTGAAGAAATCTAATATTCCAGTTCAATATGAGTAGTAATGGACATGAGAAAAATCTGTAAGCAAGCTAAACAATGCTGGACTTCTTAGTTGAAAATACAGTTTATTAGTAGATGAAACAGGATTCTCAATAGTCACCCACATTTGTAATTACATGAAAAAAGCAGTTTTTAGGAAGGAGTTATTTTAGGCACTGAACAAAGCTATTAAGGGGCAGAAATCAGAGTCAATATTGGTTTTGTCAGAGGAAGATTGAAGGTAACTAAAGTCCCTTAGTTTATATATATTACAGGTCACTCAGTACACTATTTGGAAACTTGGTAAACTCTTGTGTTTTATTTCATAGATAAAACAAACTACTATGCCCGAAGACAACTGTGTCCGTGTCCCTGTATTCCAGGGTGTGATTTCAGTAGGCTACTTCATAGAGCCTCTTGTAGAACGTACCACGCTTTGTAAATGGGCTGCTTCTTACCTTATAACATGAATTTTTTGTTTTTCAGCTCTGAGAGACAACAGAATCGAGCTGGTCCGAGCTTCATGGCACGAACTGAGTATCAGTGTCAGTGATGTGTCTCTGTCGGATGAAGGGCAGTACACCTGCTCTTTATTTACTATGCCTGTCAAAACTTCCAAGGCTTTTCTTACCGTTCTCGGTAAGTATAAAGAGCTGAGCATAAAGAAGCAAATGTTAAACTTCTCAGACGTTGGCAAATTATGATAAGAATGAACTTTTCTAAAGCTTGGCAGAAGATACACGTAAATGTCTGATCTTGTTTTGCTGATATTTATTATTTCCTATTGCTGTGCTGAAAAATAAGATGCCTCTTACTATTTGTGCGGTGGCAGAATAATGAATTAGGGAGCACACAAAGAACCACCATATAAGTGCTCCATAAAATGGACATAACCTGTACATCCCACGCACCAGAAGTATGAAGAAGGTGCATGTGTTCATCTCCGAACAATGTATTATATAGGGCAAAGGGGAGAAAATCAGAAAGCATGAAATCAAAACGGGCTTTAGAGCTTTATCATTTTTCCTTAGCTGTGCGTTTTCTTGGCTCATTCTGCTTTCTGTTTTTTTGTCTATAAAGTGCATATTTTCACTGGGTTTGCTGCTTCTTTTATGCTTTATCCTCTAAATGCTCTGCTGTTTTCCCCAAAGGTTATAGATACACATAGAAAAGCAATAGATTTCTAGAGATGCCCAGGAAATAAAGTTTCTGCTCGAAACTTTATGTGATTCTATGAATGTCAGTAGCCCAATCAGCTGAAATTGCTATAGTTCATTGAAACACACCTGCGTACCTAAAAGGTTATATGATTTTAGAGATTGATTTTTATTCTTTTCTCCTTTTTCTGTCCCTGAACTTGACTCTTTCTTTCTTTTTGTTTTATTTTTATATGTCGACAGGCAGACAGTTGAATTTAATGGGACTAATGTAAGATGTTCTCTGTGCCAGTAATATTCACATTAATCCAGCCAGGGAATTGGTTTTGTGCATAGGATATGAAATACATCTCCCTTTCAGTCCCTGTGAGACTATTTTACAAAAATCTTCACAAGTTTGCCATTAAGGACAAAAAATACCCACTCAAAGCAGAATATTCTGGAATAACAACTGCCCAGGGTTAATCTTCGTTTCTATAGAGAGGCATCTCATGACCTAAGCAATAGATGAGTAGACCAGTTCAACTTTTTAAATAGCGGAAAGACATAGAAAGATGTTACAAGGACAAAAAAAAACCATCTAGCCAATATTTATTAACCAAAGTGACTTATCTTTCACAGTCCTTTTAGTTTTACCTTCATTTTTGTGGAGGCTTAATGCAGTTTTCCCAACATCAGCTACTTACTTACAAAGAAGGAAAGCTGCAAGGTTTAAGATGCCTTTTTTTTTCATTATATATTTGTAATTTTCTGTTTCAAAGTAACATTCTAAACTCTTGAAACACTTTCTGTCTTAGAAGGGGATATTTTCCATTGAAATGTATCGCATCTTTTAATCAGATAAACTATCCTTTTATGTACTAATAATCTCTTTATTGACTGCTCTGTTATGGATTAGAAGATTTAAATGTCAGGGTATTATAGTAGAAGAGAGGAGTAGATTTATTACAGAAATGTACTATGTGATAGGTACTGCTGCTTGGTTTTTATGTACATAATCTGTCATTTTGGAAAAGAGAAGTAAACAAACCAAATTGTGAAATACAGGGCACAGGATCAATTACTGTGACTGAACCCTTTATCTAACCACAAATATGAATGCATCAAAGTGCTGCAGATGCAAGTTATAACAATGACATTTTCAGATATTTTAACATTATGGTCATCAGTATCACTTTAAAATGAATTATTCTTGTGTTCTTGGAAGTCAAATGGATTTATACATGTAGTAATCACATTTTTCCCAATTTTCTTCATTTTTGGGTTTTTTTTTAAATCTTCCGTGGTTCATTGAAAAACAACTATTTCCAAATTTAATATTATGTGTGTAGTATATCATGATCATACGACCTCCTTCAGAGAACTTGGATTCAGCTGAAGAAATCTCCATAGCCAATGGAATTGTGATTATACCTGTTGGGTTTTTGGTTGTATGTTCTCTGAAGATAAAGCAACTCCTGTATTTATTTTCATCCTCCCTTTTGCCTGGATTTTGTATTAAAATCTTCATAATTCATGCTTAAACATCTGTTCTGAACTTAGATCAGTTCAGCTTTTTGTTGTCAGTTACATTTTATTTTCACAGCTGTACTTCTAATATACTTTGTCATCCTGCTTGCACGCAGATCAGTTTAAACCTTGTAATAGCAAGTCAGACTAGACCTGCATGCAGAATGTACGTAGGTAAGATAGGTTTTAGAACATAATCTGTTTCCCGTAGAAAACTAGATAATTTCTGTTTTCTTTAATTCTTTAGAATGAACTACAGTTCAGATTGACAGTTTATTTGCAATAGGAAACAGGATTCCCTGACATTCAATTTTGATAGAAGGCAAGGAACTAATTACTCTGTTTCCAGAATTTAGAGCATATGAAGAAGTGAACTTTAAGTTGGTCATATATTCATGGCAGTAGCTGACACTATCAGAGACATTTTATTTGTTTGCTTGTTAGGTGTTCCCGAGAAGCCACAAATTACTGGATTTACCTCACCGGTTATGGAGGGAGAGAGGATGCAGCTAACTTGCAAGACTTCTGGTAGTAAACCAGCAGCTGATATCAGATGGTTCAAGAACGACAAAGAAGTTAAAGGTATTTAAAAGGACTTTGATGTAATTTGGTCCAATTGTTAAAACAATTTTTATTTAAATAAATTTTATTATTTAGAATTATATTTTTTTAATTAATGTTTGTAAACTTTCTCATATTCAGTCATTCAATCAATCAGTGATGGTAGGTGGATAAGGAATTAATTGGAAATTACTGGAGAGTTCATATAACAATCTTTTTATTTTTTCTTCAGATGGTAAAAACTGATGTTTTGAATTGCTCTGAACTCTGTTCAGCTTAGTAAACTCTGCTGTGATACTTCATAGAGAAATGTTTCATGGTTCATAGTTATCACAGCCATACCACTCACCCCAGATGTTTTACCTTTTCATTTCTTTTTGCCTTTCTAATATGGCATATGTCTGATTTGGTCAATTGCCAGTTTTATGTTACACACCTCCAAGTAAAGTGACCGGGGGAGGCAGAATTATCTGAGGGAGACAGGAGATTGCACTTCCGGTAGGGGAGCTACGGAGAATGCTCCATGAGGAAGAGTTGGGATGTAGCGTTTGAAGGAGTCTCAGTTGGAAAACTGGGAACCTGCAGCTGAGGCAAGGATGCTGAGAGTGTGCAGTGAGGAGCAGGGAGAAGACAGGCTTCAAAGGGGATGAGGACAACTTCAGAGGAACTGGAGGGAGTTGGACGAAGTCTGCTGTAACTGATAAGTCATCGGGTGACTAAAACTGAAGCTGAAAGCAAGGATTTGCTTTTGAGGATGCAGTGAGACAGGAGAGTTGCGTATAAACTTTTATTTATTTCTTTTCTGTCTCCTCTTTCACTTTGTATGTTTTTACTTAAAACCTAGTTCATATTCTCATAAATGCTGGGACAGTTTAAAATCCTTTTTGGTGAATGAGTGGGAAGAGATTCCTATAGCAGAAGGCTTAGTCACATCTGCCACAGCAAACTGAGGTGCCCATTATAGAGTATATGAATAAAAAGGATAAAGTATTGGTATTTGTTCATGTCATCTCTATTCATTCTGCTATAAGCCCAGATCAATAAATGATTCAAAATCTATGTTTTCTGTCTAGCATTTTTAAAAAAAACAACCAACTTTTATCTGCTTTGTCTCATATTTGTCTGACATTGTGGATTTTTTTAGCTCATTAAACTGCCTCAAGCAAAGTTACAGCATTAATTACAGAATCCATTAATCTTCCTTTAGTATTCTCTGCCACAGTTCAGCGTACACAACCAAAGCTGTGATATAAAATTGGTAAATAAAGGAGATTTCAGTTGATTGTCCAAGGAACCCAGTTCATTCTAGAAGCATCTTTAGATTTCTGATAAAAGTCAGAAGACTGTTGAAGGAGACAGGAATTTTAAGCTGGAATCATTTGACATGTGTTTGAACACTTTTGACATGGATAGAAAGTGAGGAAACAGAATACCGTTCTCTCTAGCCCCTGGGAAATCTGAGGAGATTGCCAAAAGAAAAGTAGCACCTCATAAAATGTAATTAAAAAGAAGAATTTAACAGCACAGCTAACACGCATGTCACAGCATAGGTGCTGTGATCCAGAAAAGGTGACAGGATGAATATATATATTCAAGAAATGTAAAGATTGAAAATCACTCTATGCAAAGTCAATACTTCAAGAGAACTATTGGTACAGTTGGCCTAACAGCAAGGCAACACATCTGAAAAAATGTTTTTTTTAAAAAATTTATTTTAAAATCTGGTGTAATAACTTTGCCTTTCTTTCAGCTGACATGTAATTGAAGCCAAGCAAGCAATTTTGATTTCACTCTTTAATTAATTTGCTCTTCTTCACAGTTCTTAAAGGGATGCTTTTTTAAAAAGGGGGGTGCAGAAGGAACAAAGAAGATGTGTGAAAAAGAACAGTAAAGGGTAAAAAAAAAAGAAATGAGAGGAAAGTACTGAGCACATTCATTTCAGTTTAGTTTTCTAGGTCTTCTGAAGAGCACATTGCCATTTCACAAAGGTTAGAAATAAAATAACCTAACCAGTTTGCAGTGGCATCAGCAGAAGTTACATTAGCTTTGTGCACTGTAAAAGGTGAAATGATAAATCTGAGAAAATAGATATGAAATTATATGCTAATGCAGCTGACATTAAAGGTTAGGAGTTCGTCTGTCTAGCACCAGTAAATCCAATTGTGTTGCAGTGTATTATACATGGTGCAAAAGAATATAAATGATGCATTGAGTTCAGAGTTGCACCAAAGGGGAAAAAGCCATTCTAAAATTGTAGCTCCATTGCTATTACTCAAAAAAGGAATCATCATCTGGTAAAGGAATACTGTTTGGTAGAGTAAGTGTTAGTAATGAGAGAGACTGAATGTGAAGCACTGAGTACCATACCTTTTACTTTAGTGTTCTGTCTCTCGTACATGCACCAAATTAACAAAGCAATATGCAGTTTAGCATTCTGGTGACATTTCTGGAAGATTCTTAAAATCAAAAATGCCAGAGAAGCTAAATACACAACTTTTGACAAAAAATTACCTATTTTTTCAACAAAATTTGTTACATGCTATTTCAACAATATTATGTAAAATATTATTTTAGGTTTCAGGAATATTTTTAATGGATTTTCTTTTTTTTTTTCCCCCTAGCAAAATTTGACTTCAGAAACAAATAAGATAATATCAGTTCAGTTAATCTGTTGCAAAAAATTAAGACATTTTGCCTTAGTTTATCTATTTTTGTATGTGCAAATAATTCAGAAAGGCACGGAACATAAACCACTAAAAAAAGATGAAAATTTTTTTACAAGTCCATTTCATGGCAGAACTTGATTTTAAGTGCAAACAAAATTACCTTAGCCTTGTAGAAGCAGCAAAGCTGTCTTTTCAAAAGATGAGTGTTTCTATATGGATGTTACAAGTATGTGCTCTTATAAATAGTTGACAATGAACAATGGATGATACATTCTATCATTTCTATGTATTATTTTCACTATCAAACATCTATAGTTATGAGATATAAACTAGTATTAGTTAATACAAGCATATCTTTGGGTGCAGCTACCCGATAGAGTCATAGAAGCAGGCCCATAGCTGACCCTTAGATTTCATATGGCCAAAACTCTGTTCAGAGGTTAGACCAGGTTGCTAAAGGTCTTCTCCAATTCAATTTTGAAAAATCTCCAAGGATGGAGAATCCTAGTCTGTCTGGCCTAGATGTTTCAGTATTTGAAAGCCCTTATTGTGGAGAATTTTCATTACATGTAGGTATTTCATGATATATAATCAGAATTTGCCTTTTTGTACATTACCCCTCAACTTTTGCTGTATGCCTCTCAGAGGACTCTGGCTTTTTGTTCTCTATGGCTGTGCATTAGACACTTGACAGCATCAGTTTGATCTGGTTTTAGTCTTCTCTTCTTCAGGCTGAACTAACCCTACTATCTTAAGCTGTCATTTATACATAGCATGCTCCCACCGGTGACCATCTCTATGGCTTTTGGCTGAACCTACTCGTGTTTGTTGACATCTTTCTTGTAAGAGAAAGCCCAAAACTGGGCCTGCTACTGTAGCTGTAGCTACGCAAGTGCTGAATAGAGGAGTCGTCACTTCCCTTGACTTGCTGTCTATGCTATCGTTAATGCAGGGCAGTCACTTTTTAGCTTTCAACCCTGTAAAGGCACATTGCTGACTAATGTTCAACCTGATCTCAAGACCCCCAGTTCCTCCTCTATAAAGCTACTTTCTATCTAGTCATCCCCCAACCTTTTTCATTGTAGTGATTTCCAGAGAAGTGCCTCTGTAATGGATCTTTTTTTTTTTTTTAACCTTTTTTCAAGAGGGTGTTTAGGAGAGAGAGGAGTAGCAAGAGAATAAATGAAAGAATGGACTACAGCAGACATATTTAAAAATTCTGTAAAACTGCTGGGTAAATATTCTGAATGCTAGCATACGATAACATACCCAGTACCTGATCTCCACTGCTCCTACATCCAGGTGGGCTCAAATTCAGTTAGCATCCTTCATTTTGCTATGAAAAAACATCTAAGAAGATACAGCTGATAAAGTGGACAAGCTAAGTATTTCTGTTGATGAGGATGTCAACAGTTTATAGAATAGTATTGCCATCATTTTTAGAGAGGTAATTAACTCTAAGAGTTGAACTCTTCCAAACAATAGATGTCTAGAGAAAAGCTTCTAAACATCCGTTTAGGAAATTAACTGCCTTTGTTTTTCTAAAGGATTAAGCATCCACAACCTCTCACTGAAATTAAAGTTGTTGGTGTCTTCAGGAGCTGTCTGTCCTCTGCTGAAGCCAATAAGCAAAGGGATGTGTACATTACTTATAAGCAGAAGGCTGTCTATATAAGTGCTTGAATTTGGAAACCTAACTCTGGGAACAAAATCTCATGTGTTTGTTTTAAATATTAGTGAAGACATTTGTTGTTTGTTTATAATAACTTTACTTTAGCCCTGGTCAATGTTCCTCTCACCTGCTGATCCCTAAATATGAATAATCACGGTGACAGAAACTGAAATTTCTTAAAGCTTAGCAACCAACAGGCAGAAAAATGCTTGTATGCAAGAAATAATTATTTCTTATGGAAAAATGGAAATCTTATAGCTATGTGGTGTATTCATCTGTCTGGAGACAACAAAAAAGACCATCTTTCTGATTTCAGAGGTATTATTAACCTAAAAATATGTAGTTTAAGCCATTTAAGATTTGCTTTCCAAAATAGGTATTTTGTGGAAATTTTGTTTAGGTCATCTTTTTCTCTAATGGGATTTAGTATAATTTGTAAAACTGAAACCTCTTACTTTTTCTTTTTTTATGACACAGAGGACATATGCAATCTCAGTGTAATTTAATATATATGTTTATGTATTTATATGTGTCTTTTAAAGCTTTCATTGTAACCAATCAATATAACGAGCTTACTATTTTGCTGAAATTTCGCTGAAATAGATAAAAACCAATAAGTATTATAAGTAGTTGGGAACCAAGAAAAACAATTCTAAATTGTGTGTAAGAAGAGCTCATGTTGCAGTTAATACGTTAAAATTTAAAAAAAAATTGCTCAGTCTTTTGGATCTTTGGTTGTGATCTAACATGTATGTCCTACAACAAAAGTTTCTGAATTTGAACCTCAACCTTGATCTGAGTTGAATATTTCTTAAGCATAGCTGTAGGCTCCCCTCATTCTCGTATCTGGGCTGAAAAGTGTCAAAGAGATTTTTAACTGAATCTGCACAAAAGCAGTACATCAATTTAACATGATATAAAGCAGTGATAAAGCAGGTCTCTTTGAAGTAATTTTATTTCCAGTCTTCTTGGGACTTGTCCGCAGATTCCAGTAAATACTATGACATGCTCTATTTACAGCTGTTCATCACCGTTGATATCTATACTTTGGTTTAGCTTAATTCATAAATTAGCATAATTCTAGCCAAACAACAGAATAAACAATGAATAAAGTAAACACAGGATTGATGTGACTATACATGCAACCCTTAGTTCCCATGGCTTCAGTAAGATCCATGTATTGCATTACTATGAAAGATTATAAGCGTGGACTTAGAAAATTTAATATTTAGTGACACTGAATACTTAAGGGAAGTGAGAGCGGGGAAAGAGCACTAATGAACTGCCGACTAAGTTTGTATCAAATTTGGGCCTAAACATATAAGAGATAATGATGAAAGGAATTTCCGTTTGAGTGCAGTATCATGTAACCAATTTAAAATTTTCTTTTTCAGTATATATCTTCTGCTCTGACAATTGGAGCAAATTGAGGAGTAACTACAGTCTAATTACTTTTGTTTTGAAGAGATCAATACAGATATGAGAGACATGTTTTTTCAACAAGTGTGATAGATAATTTAGCTGTCTAATGCTGGACTACTTTTCCTTAAGATATTGGAGAGAAAATTGTTTGCTTATTTTTTCTTTCAGATGTTAAATATTTAAAAGAAGAAGATGCAAATCGTAAAACATTCACAGTCAGCAGCACACTGGATTTCCTAGCAGATCGCAATGATGATGGTGCAGTTGTAAGTTGCAGAGTAGATCATGAATCCCTAAACTCTACACCTCAGATAGCAATGCAGGTTCTAGAAATTCACTGTAAGTAATACACATTAAATATGCTTGCTTTTATAGTTTTGTTTTGTTACAGAGTTCCTATTGTGGGAAAATTAGAAAAACCTCTGATATTGTGCAAATAGATAACATCTTTCTTTTAGCCAGCTTCTCTGGTTTGTGTTTAGTTGGTTCGGGGTTTTGGCGGGTTTGTTTGTTTGGTTGTTTTTTTACAGGAGGAACTCTAAAAAGTTTAATGAGAGCTTTACGAGTGAAAACGCTATGGGACCAAGTTCCTGGTTTGCTTTGAGAAGTGGTGGAGAGGAAATACATGTCTATTTTTGTTTATCATTATAGCAATGTGAAGGAATTCTCAAAAATCAAGATCATAGTAGTTCACAATTTTCCTTGAAAGTCTAGAAACTTAAAACGAGGGTATGGAGAAGCAAAGTTTACAGCAGACTGCCTCAATAACTTGGAATCCTGCTAATGAAACTCTTTGTAATGCTGTTAATAACACAAGTCCAGGAGGAAAAGCCCTTTAGAATTTATTTTTAGGCCTTGTCTATACAGGATGTTACTCTAGATAATCCAAACTTCAGTTGTTTTGTTTCCTCTATGTATTGGCTTTTTTTTTTTTTTCAAATAAGGTTCCTGGAAACTTGATGTTTTCCACAGTGCATTGTTTCAAAGTTGAATGAACCTGCCTATGTATCTGTGTGCCCTACTCTGAAGTCATGTTGTCCTTTGAGTCGGGTTTTTTTTCACTTATAAACTGTGGGACACTCAGGAAAACACCTTTTCACCATCAGATGACATTTTCATATTCACTTGCATTATACCCACCATTCTTCTGGGTACAGCTGTCTGGATTTCTGCAGAACATCTGCACTTTTGATTGCGAGCTAGCAAAAATAAGCATCTGTAAAATGTTGTCAGGCCAGGTGAAGGGGAGAGACCTTTCATGAATCTGTTTCTAAGGTAGGTGTAATCAACCTGTTATAAAGCAGAGAAGCTTGTCCATAAAGCAGATAATCTTCCAATAACTGCGACTAGTTCCCGAGATGCCATTTCAAGGACTGCTGGCATATACAACTTGTTTCTAAACAGGGATATTTCTATAAGCATCTAAGACTCGTAGCACATGTAAAATGCAGTAATGGCAAAAGCACTGGATGCATAGAAGCTGACAGCATTGCTAAAAATGCCATCTGCAAAAAAGACTGAAAATTAGGAGGATGTAGATTAGCATCCACGAGTAATATGTACTGAAAATAACTGTTTTCTGAAACATTCTACCCATCATTTTACTGAGGGACCTTAAAGCCTTTCTTCACCAAATGCCTCCCCTAACATGTTCAAGTGACATCTGTACTAGAGACAGGAATTCTCAACAGCTTTATTTCCTTGAATTCTAAATCTCACAACCATCAGCCACTGAGCTGGCCTATGCCTTCACTTCCAAATTGCCTTCTCTTCCTTCAGTGCCCTGCTCAAGACGTAGGCACTACAGGAGATGAACCATATGGAATGGAACAGTAGATGCAGAAATAAGAGAGCTACAGGAGTTTAAACTGAGTCACTGGTTTGCGTGAGCATCATAAGATCATCATTCTGTGGCCTCTCTTATATAAAGCTTCTTGAATATTTGTTGTTTCCTTCCCATTTGCACCCTAGGTAGCAAGACACTACCTTGCAGTGGGGTGCATCTTCCTCTATGCCTGTTGCTTCTTGTTTTGAACAAGACCCTTCTGTCTCTTCTGTGGGTTCACTGAAGTTCTCTAACAAGGACAAGCTGCACCGGGCATTTACAGTTACTAATGTGCTTTATGTTACTGCCCCCTCCAACTTATCAAAAGCTACAATGCAGAAATAATTATTCTCTA